GGAAAGAAGTTAGCAGCAGACGTTGGAGATGGGGCTCACCGGGGCACGGATGATGTTGAGCAGGGCCTTATCACGGTAAATGCGAACCTCTCCATTGGCCAGCCCAGCCATGACAGCCTGCAGGCCCCGGGAATGCTGCTCCAGGAGGTTCATGGTCAGGATGGCTGCAGGCATCTGCACTGTCCACAGCTTCTTTCCCTGGCAGGGACCAGCCAGAGTCAACTCAGGGCTTAAGAGTGGAAAGAAGGGTGGTGGGAGCTGCTGGGAAGAAGAAGCCAGAGGGCTCTTCTGCTACAGGAGGGTGGAGAGACAGGTGTGGAGAGGCTGGTGCTTGCCAGAGGCCATACCTTGTGGGTGAAGCCATGCAGGCTTTCTTGGGTGCTGCCCACCACCAGGATCTTGTGTATCTGGACAAGTCCCACAGGCTGGGCACTCAGTTCGATGCAGTACTTGGGGCGCTTGGAGTCCCTGGAATAAAGACATAGTCATGCAGCCCCAGAGAAACCCTCTCCCCACTTCCCTGGCTGACCCTCTTTCTAAGTCCCACAGACTAATCTGGAAGGAACCCTGGCCACCCCAAAGCCAATGCCCCTGAGAAGACCCACTCTATCTTGGATAGCATCAAGTGGGTGTCTTCCTATCCTGTCTCCCTCCCATCCTGACTATGGTGGTTTATATGGCAGAGTTTTCAGTGAGTTTATGAGAAAATGAGAAAGCAAGCTACCAGGTTCAGGAATAGAGCCACAGTCGGCCATGTGGGAGTCCTGCACCTTAACCACCATACCACCTGCCAGACCCATGAACAATCTTTCAAAAATGTGAATGGATCAAGTCATTCTCTAACTAAAACCCCATGATGGCTTCCACTGCATTTCAGATAAAATCCCAATCCTGGCCTATGAGGTTGCCACTAAGTTTCAGATAAAACCCCTTTACCTTGGTCTACGAGGTCCAGGATGAGCTGACCCTAGTCTCCATCTCATCTCTTTCTACCATCCTCCTGACCCTCCAAGCTTGAGTACTATTTCAGTCCACCTTATACTTTAACCTGTGCTTAAATGCCAATGTCTTTCTCACCTTGTGTTTGCCAACAGCATTCTTCTCCCACTTTTTGAACAACCTCAAGCCACCTCCACAGACAGGTACTACTGATCACCCTTACCTCATTGTTTTCCCCTACTGAGTCTGTATTTTCTTCCATAGCACTCATCTAACTAGCAGCATCTTTGCTTGTTGACTTTAATGTCTTCCCCATGAGGGCAGGGACCCTATTTAGTTCGTTCCTCAATATACCCAAGACTTTGCATTGTGTTTAATGCAAGGAGGTCCTCAATAAAAATGTCTGTTTACTTCTTTTATTTTGTGATAGGTACATGTGCACACATACGGTGTTGTAGACAAGATCTCACTGTGTCATGATCCTCCTGCCTAAGCCTTCACAGGTGTATACCACTGCACCTGGCCTTTTTGTAAACACTTGTCAGAGGGTGTGTGCACTTGCCAGAGAGAGGCAGAGGAGGGAGAGGGAAAAAGAAAAGCATCTCCAAGTGGGGAGTGCTCACACTGCAATCCCTTCTCTTCTATTTCTCTATCTTGGGATTTAGGTCACACATGCTCAGGCACATGGTGTGTTTTTCAAGCCCCTGGGGCCAAGATTTGAACTGTACCATTGGCCACGGGGGACCTAGCTCCTTTAACCACTAGGTTGCAGAGCCTGCCCTGCACCTGACCTTTTATGAAGGAATCAAATCTGGCCTCCTATATGGCCTCAGCTTGTCATCAGCAGTGTTGAGTACATACTACTGCAACTGGGCCAAAAAAAATTTCTTGAATTAAAAAAAAGAATGTTGCATGGAATATCAAGCTAATACATAAGGAAGTGACATGCACTATAAAGTGACATAATATGTACTGGAGACTATTCTTATTTCTTCCAGTTTTTGAGGGCATCACTCTATTACAGCCACTCAGCCCAGTCTCTCAGTTTGCCAGTCCCCTTCTCACAAGCATTTGGATATTCCCACTGTACTTGTGGGCTTAGCCTCCTTGACGGGATCCTCAGCTCTTTCCATTCCCAAAGTCCATCCTAGAGCCCCCTGGCCCTCCTGCAAAGCTCCTGAGACCCCCAGGATTCTGAGGTGTTCCTTCTGGCCCCAGAGACTGGATGTGGCTACCTTCTCAGGATATAGATGTTTCCATTGCGGCAGGCAGCGGCAAGTTGGAACTCGACATCAAACTGGCCAGAAACCTCCAGGAAGACAGGGACACCAGGAAGATTCATCTGCAAAGAAGAGGCTCAAACAACCTGATTTCTCTGGAGCCCAGTCCCTCCCGTCCCTGAAATAACCCCTCTGAGTTAGTTCTTTGTCTTAAGTCCTAATCTCCTCACTCATACTCTCTTGGTCACAGTTTAAACTTGTAAAATTTTTCTGCAAGTAAACTTGGAAATAATCTTTTAGTCTATATACCCTTCGCCCAACTATGCCACTTATAGGATTGCATCCTAAAGAAATATTTAAACAAGGATGCAAAGATATTTGAGCAAGGAAGTCAACTGTAATTGTGTTAATAACAGTGAAAACCTAAAACAGTTTGAATGTACAAGTGACTGGGTGCAAAAATTATGGTACAGCTAGATAATGGATAATATATGGCCTTTAAAAAGGCTGATGTGGTTTTACAGATATGGAAAGATGCTGACAATATACTGTTATATGGAACCAGCAGTTAGCGTAATGGCTATGTCGCTGGACTCCCATGTAGTCGACCGTGGTTGGCGTCCTGGACCCGATGGCTTAAAACTCACGCTGGGCTATGTGCATGCGTGCCCAAGATCCGAGAGGAGAATGGAGGAGAAGGGATTGCGGTGTGGCCATCCCCCCTGGGGGATGATTTCTCGCTTCCTGTCTCTCTGTCTCTCTGTCTGTCTGGCAAGCACACATGCCCTATAGCAAAAACCTCTCAAAAAAAAAAAAAAAGAATTAAAAAAATATATATATACTGGTATATAAAAAGAGCTGGACACATGGTCCTGTACTGTGATCCCGTTTCTATAAAGATAAATATTTATATAAAGTTATATATCTATGTCTAAACATGAGAATGTCTAGAACATATATCAAAATTAAAAAAAAAATTTAATTGCCAGAGGGCATGTGTACTCATCACAGACAGATAACACCCTCTGAATGGGGAATGCACGTGCCACAATCCCTTCTCCATTTTTCCATCTTGGGATCTTGGGCATGAATGCACATGTGCTCAGTGTTTCTCAAGCTACCAGGCCTGAGATTTAAACTGCATTCTCCCATATGGGATCTTGACTGTCTTATCTACTAGGCTTTGGGGATAGCCCATGCTGAAATTTTAAAAGTAGATATCCACGGATGGTGGGATTTTGGGATATCTATTATTTTCTTTATGCTTACCTATAGGCTCTAAGTTTTCTACAATGAACATGTATCAAGAACTACCTGGGGAGCAGGGCTCTGGAGGGAATGCAGCCTGGGCCTTGAGTGTGCCCGGGGCCAGACCTGATACTAACCTTAGCCAAAATGGTGAAGGCCTCAGGGTCAAGCACTAGAAGCTCCTTGTTTTCAGTGCCCAGCACCAGGCAGGACACAGCATCTTCATCAGCCAGGTTCTTCTTCATGGTGGTCATGGTGGTGATGACTGTCTGCAGAAGGACTCTAGGGATCACTCAGGGAACCTCCCTACACCATCTCCCCAGACCCCCCCAGGATGCCAGAGGAGGGAAGAAAGAGGGTAAAGGAGGAAGTATCAGAGATGTGACAGGTTAACGTACAAAGATATTTATTACAAAGAACCTAACTGCCTTCTGTTTTTAATTGCCAGAGAGCATTTATGCTGGAGAGAGACAGAGACAGAGACAGAGAGAGAGAAAGCAGTCCTCAATAGGGCATGGTCATGCTGCAATCCCTTCTCCATCTGGTTGGGATTTGGGGCACACATGCACATGTGCCAGGCATATTTTTCAAAATGCTGAAGTTGGGATTTAAACTGTGGTCAGCCATTGGGATCCAGCTCGCTCAACCACTAGGCTGTGGGGCTGGCCCCAAATCTAGCTTTCTAGAAAAAGATGATTGTTTAAGTCAAATACAAGATAAAATCAAGCAGCCATTAACAAAAATCAAAAACAAAACAAAACAATAAAAAGATTCAATGACAGTTGGAGAAAAATGGGCAAAATGTTGGCACAATCCCAGCTTTAAAATACAGGACCAGCAGATGGCAGAATGGTTACACTGAGGTTCGAGTCCTGGATCCTGCAGCTTAAAACTCATGCCAGGTGCATGTGCATGTGTGCCCAAGATCCTGAGAGGAGAATGGAGAAGGGATTGTGGCTTGGCCATCCCCCTAGGGGGTTATTTCTCACTTTCTGTCTGTCTCTCTTTGTCTCTCTGGTGAGTACATGTACCCTATAGCAAAAATCTCTCTCAAAAACAACAAAAACCATGAATACAAAAACATGCTGGAGAGACCAGCAGGTGACGTGGTGGCTAGGGGTGCTGGGCTCCCACACTGCTGAATACAGTTCAAGTCCCAGACTTGGCAGCTTGCTTTCTTACTTTCTCTCTCTCTCTCTGTCAAAAATTTTCAATAAATAAAGTTAAATAAAATAATTCTTTAAAAAAAAAAAAACATGCTGGGAGGCTAGATCCTTAAACACAAACACTGGTTATCTCCAGACAATAAGATCACAGATAATGCTTACTTTCTTCAAGGTGCTTTTCTATCATTTCTACAGTAGGCATACATTTCTTTTATAATTAAAACTGGAGGGAAAACAAAGAGAAACAATGATTCCTTTTTCAGGAGTTTCTCCTATGTAAATTAGCAGAACCAAAATGTTTTTCTTTGGATAAAGCTGCTCATTGTGTGATATCATTAAGAATAATAAAAAGTAATTGGGACCAGCAGATGGCATCATGGTTATGTCACTGGACTCCCATGTAGTCAACCACGGTTTGAGTCCTGGAACTGGCAGCTTAAAACTGATGCTGGGCGCATGCATATGCGTGCTCAAGATTCTGAGAGGATAATGAAGGAGAAGGGATTGTGGCATGGCCATCCCCACTGAGGGGGGGGGGGTGATTTCTCACTTTCTGTCTGTCTTTCTGGTGAGTGCATGTGACCTATACCAAAAATCTCTCTATAAATAAAAAAATTTTTGGAGAGGTTTTCACTATAGGGCACATGTGCTCGCCAGAAAGACAGAGAGAGACAAAGAGACAGAAAGTGAGAAATCATCCCCCAGGAGGGATGGCTACACAGCAATCCCCTCTCCTCCATTCTCCTCTTGGGGTCTTAGGCATGCATGCACACACCCAGCGTGAGTCTAAGCCACCGGTTCTGGGACTCGAACCTAGGTTGACCACATGGGAGTCCAGCAACATAGCCATTACACCAACTGTTGGTCCCTCTAAATAAAATTTTAAAAGAAGAAAAAAAGAAAGAGTAATCATTCTTAGTGCCTAGAGGAAGGAGGAAGATTACAGAAATGTGGACAGATGTTAGTGGTTCCCAATTATGATCTATCCTTGGGAAGATTACTTCCCATGCACAAAAATGTATCTTTTTTGTTCCTTTTCTCTTGTGAGAGGGACAATACGAGACAGAGAGTCAGCTGTAATCCCCATTACCAGCCAGCCAGATTGCTAGTGCGTGGGCACATGCCTGGTGTCAACTCAGGACCTGAAATCATGGTTGGTCACATGGTATCTAGCACTGAAGATTAGCATGCGACAGACAGCCTGCATCACTGTGGCTGGACCAATTAAATTATGTTTTTTTGTGTGTTTGTTGTTGTTGTTGTTAAGGTTTTTGCTATAGGGCGCATGTACTTGCCAGAGAGACAGAGAAGGTGAGAAATCATCCCCTGAGGGAATGCTCACAACATAATCCTTTCTTCTGTTAGGATTTAGAGAAAGCACGAACATGGGCCCAGCATAATTTTCAAGCTTCTGGGTCCAGGGCTTGAACAGCAGCAGTCCACCGTGTGGAAGTCTGGTTCCTTAACCATGCCACCTATTAGCCCCTAAACTGCATCTTTTAAGCAAAAGTAATTAATTCACTTCCCAAGTATAAAAGTGCTCAAAGATACAAACAACTGCAGATATGCAGTGCTGACCAGCGGGGGAGAGCAACATTTCTCAGAGAATTGGTCTGGTGCAGGCTAAGGCGTATTCAACTAAGGTGGCCTCTACAGGGGTACAGTTCCCAGGAGGCTTGTAAAATGCAAATACCTCTGGGAGTCTATTCCTGGGTTAGGGTTGTCATCCCTAGGTCAGGAACCACTAGTGCTCATCAATGCATAGATCCATTAATGAAGTCATTAAGATTGTAACTAAGAAAAATAGGAAATGAATAAAAGGGAAGCATGTCTTGTACAGTGACCAGTATGTGAATGGTTACATAAACAAACTATGTATTACATATTCATGAAATGATGATCAAGGGTCCACTAAAAATGGAGTTCTTGAAGACTATTTAGTGCTCCAAATGTAATGTTACATACTCAAGGGAAGCAGGATATAAAAGCATATTTATGAAGGAAATGTACCCAAGATGTAAACAGTGGGAATCTTAGAATAGTGAAATCACTGCTATTTCTTCTTTATATTTTTTTAAATAATTATCTTATTTAACCTTATTTATTTATTTATTTCTAATTTGATCAGAGAGATAGAGAGAGAGAAAGAGAGAGAGAGAGAAAGAGAAAGTGAGAAAACAAGCTGCCAGGTCCAGGACTCAAACCACGGTTGACCATGTGAGAGTCCAGTGCCCTTAACCACCACACCACCTGCCGGCCCCTATTTTTATTTTCCAAATTTTCTGTAATAAAAATGCATCACTCTTATCCTCAAGGAAATAAGTTATGTAAATTATACATATGTATATGTGCATATATATACACACACACATATATATATTAATATTATATATGTATATATTATGTGTGTGTGTGACATAAAAGTGGTCACCGTTGGGGCCAGCAGGTGGTTTGGTGGTTAAGGAGCTAGATTCCCACATGGCCGACTACAGTTTAAGTACTGGATCCAGAGGCTTGCTTTCTCACTACCAACACCCCCACCCCTGTCCCGTCTCTCTGGTCAAATTAAAAAAATAATAATAATAATAAATAAAATTGGACAGGTAATTATTTTTAAAATTTTAAAAAATATTTTATTTAACTTTATTTATTTATTTTTTCATTTGTTTATTTTAATTTGACCAGAGAGGGGCAGAGTGAGAGAGAGAGAGAGAGAAAGCAAGCCACCAGGTCCAGGACTCAAACCATGGTCAGCCATGTGGGAGTCCAGCGCTTTTAACCACCATGTCACCTGCCAGCCCCAGCTAATTCTTTACACAACAAAAAAAAAAAAACGCTGTCACTGTTAACTAGAAATGCAGAAGGTACTGTAGCTCAGTGACTGTATGTGTGGTGTAGCTGGGAGGGAAACTGCAAAGAGAAAACTTGTCAGGTTTGGCTGTAGAATTTATCACTAATGTTACATGGTCTTTTTTTTAAAAAAGTAAATATTTTTTACAGGGGAAGAAAAAGAGAAGGGGGCATTACCTGCCTCTTGATGGACTTAGACTTGTGCTGATTTACAAATGCCTCCATTTCGCTCAGCTCCAGCTGCAGAAACCTGTACACACAGAACCGGAGTCTGTATACCTCACCTGGCTTTCCTCCACAGGCCAGTTGCAGCTGCTGGCTCCCTGCCAGAGCTGTCAGAGTCCTGGCCCTTCACAGGGCCCTTACCTGAGAGACTGTACCGACAAAGGCACCTCTGCTTTCTCCCTGCAAGGAGAAGGGTCAGTTGAGGAATAGGGCCCTGGGCGTCAAACTTAGAGCTCTGAGATAGAGCTGGGTAGGGGGTGTTCCAGGGAAGGTGGGCTCTTACCGGATGTCCTCCAGCATCTCCTTCAGGGTTAAGGGGTCGATCCGATCCTGTAGGAGCGTGGGGAGAAGGGAGAGCCAGACATAGAATGCTGTAGCCCATGCCCTCAGGGCTTCTGGGGTACCTCTTCCTCTCCACTTCTCCACTTTCCTTCCCACTTGACTCTGAACCAAGCCCCAAGCTCAAGATCTCACTGTTTCAGTCCTTCTTCTCTGGTGGACTCCAGTCTTCTTTGGTTTCTCCTCCCCAAAGGTGAGCAGGGTGTGGCTAGTGCAGTGAGTCTCCGGCTCTCCAAAAGGCCTGGCTGAGTGCCTCCCTGGGAGCCACTGCTCAGGGCTGGGCGTATCACTCTGCCCAGAAGTGCCACCTCTGCTGCAGTCGGAGACGGCTATGGCTGACCTCACACAACTTGCCCACCTGGGAGTCCAGCCCTCCTCACCCAGTGGTTGCCATCGTTGCTTTCTGGTTTCCGTCACCCCATGTCACTTACCTCCTTGGCCTGGTTCCAAAGGTCTTGCTCCAGAGGGTTTAGAGGCAAGTGGGGCAGGCTGAACTTGAAGTAGGGTCTAAGATTCTTATATACATAGACACAAGGGCCTGAAGCGAGAGCCAGAGCTGGGGTCCGGGGCTCATGCTGTTCCATGAGGAAGGTGGCAGCAGCGGCTGGCAGAGCAGGCAGTGAACTTTCGGTCAGCACCGCTGGTCCTTTGAGCACCTTCAGGCGGGGCTGCTGCCCACCTGGGCCAAGGTCCCCCACCACCAGCTGTAGGGAGAGGATGGTTCATTCTAGGAGTCTAGGCTCCTCCACTTTGTGCTCCGGCTCAGCCTTTACAAGGGTATACATTCATTCATTCCCACACCATCAAAGGCTTTGCTATCAGGCTGACAAGCTGTTTGACCTTGGGAAAACTGATTAACCTTTCTGAGTCTCACTTTTTCTGCTTGTAAAATGGCCATCCCCGCTGGGGGTTGATTTCTCACTTTCTGTTTCTCTGGCAAGTGCATGTGCCCAACAGAAAAAATCCCTCTCTCAAAAAAAAAAAAAAAAAAGTGAATAAATAATATCTATGTGCCTTCCAAAGGGCCCAGTCCAGAAGTGGACACCCAATACATGTTAACTTGTTTCTTTTGTCCAATATATTTCTCAATCTTTTAAAAACTTGAGTCTTTTTTAAAAAGTTCTTTATATTTAAAATTAAATGTTAATTTTAACCTTTTTTATTATGGAAAATTTTCAATCATATACAAAACTAGAGACTTGTATAATGAACCCCCATATACCCATTATCCAACTTCGACAATTATCAGTTTATAGCCAGTCTTATAATCTGTGTTTGGTAAGCGTAACTCTCACTTCCCCTCCAGATTCTAACCCTGCTCTGAGGGATTTTGCCTTGCAAAGACTCGTGTCAAATTAACTAAATTAAGAGGTTTAGTCTTAATAGAATCCCCGGCAGCATTTTGTTCTGCTTGCTTTTTCCCACCCTGTATTACGAAATCAATAGGCTTTCTTCAATTTCCACATTAAAATAAAACTTAACGGTTAAGTATGACTTTTCATGGTACACATGAATTCCAAATTATGCTAAGGTTCCTTGAAGCTACTGGGAAATATCATCTCTGGGCCTTCTCTGCTCTCTCAATTTTCTGCTAGGGTAATATGCTTACCTTGTACTCCCCATCTCCATGCAAATCTGCCAGTGCTGAAAAACACCAAAAGGTCATAAATTAGGGCCAGCAGGTGGCATGGTACTGGATTCCCACATGAACAACTATGGTTTGAGTCTTGAACCTGGCGGCTTGTTTTCTCACTTTTCTTCTATTTCTCTTTCTCTGGTGGGCACATGTGCCTTATAGCAAATTAATAATAACAATAAAGAAAACTAAGTAATTCTTATGAAAAAAAAAGTCACCATTTCTTTTTCAGCCTGGAAGGGTGTAGGCATTGAGGCATAGCAACTGCCATGGCTTCCAGTGCTGTGGCAAACCTCAGATGTGTGGCCTTCTGGCTAAGCGTCTGCGATTTCATATTGTTGGAGCATTCATTGTATCCCTGAGTGTTACAGCTTTCTGTAAGTTTGCTGTGGCTGAACCAAGAAAGAAGGCATGCAGATTTCTATGGAAATTATGATTCTATGAAAGATTTTGAAGAGATGAGGAAGGCTGGTATCTTTCAGAGCATAAAGTGATTTTGGAACGTAAAGAATGTCATTGGATTGGCGCCATGTTCCTGAACTATAAAACATGAGTACATGGGTTAAAGAATAATTTCTCTTAATAAATAAATACTGTAGACAGAGGAGAGAGAGAGAAAGCCTTATGGGACCAGCAGTTAGCGTAATGGCTATGTCGCTGGACTCCCACATAGTCGACTGAGGTTCGAGTCCCAGACCGGTGGCTTAAACTCACGCCGGGCACGTGTGCGTGCATGCCCCAAGATCCCGAGAGGAGAATGGAGAAGGGGTTGTGGCGTGGCCATCCCCCCCCCTCGGGGGTGATTTCTCGCTTTCTGTCTCTCTTTCTCTGTCTGTATGGCAAGCGCACGACGCGCCATATAGCAAAAACCTCTCCAAAAAAAAAAGGAAAAAGAAAAAGAAAGCCTTAAACCAGGGTTTCAATCCCAGAGGCTTCACTACGGGACCATTATGATACCCCTACCCCTCCGACGCCCGGGGTTGGTGATTTCATACACTCACCCAGGCAGGCGGAAAACGTGTGGATGTTCGCCATGGGGTCGTAGTGTGCATCCAGCCACTTGGAATTGGCCTCATTGCTAGGAATGGGGGAGGGAAATAAATGGTTGGGGAGTGAGTCCCACGGGAGGGCAGGAAAACTTTGCAAGAGCTGGTGTCTGAGAGTGATGCGTGCAAATAACTCTGAACTGGGGGTACAGAACAACTGGATCCAAGTCCAGCCTCTGCCATGGTGTAGTTTGAGTTTTGAGTCAAACAAGCACTCCAGGGACCTTGGTTTCCCTATATGATCTCTAAGAGCTCTGCAAGGAGTGCCAGTGCTGAGAACCGCAGGAGCCAGGACTAGGGAGCCTAGGTGCCCTCTTAACATTCGTGGGAAAGGAGACTCTAAGGACCCTGCCTTCACCTTTCAGCACGGCCGCTGTCTGTATCCGAAGACGCCGCAGCCATCTTTGCCGGCGTAGTCCTGGCAACTGGCCCTGCCCCGTTGCTGCGCAACGCCGAACTGCGCCCGGGCTCCAACGAGAGCGCGTACAAAGGTTCCAGGTGTGAAACTTTCCGGATGAGGCCCAAGAGCTGCGTGACCTGGCCACCTTGTTAGGTTCAGCCCGCTGAAATGCAATCCTCTCCGCAGTTTATATGACTTTTTTGCACCTCCACGTTGGAGCCACCTTTCCAGGACTCTCGGCCCTATAATCTGTAGGTAACGACAGGCCCTCTAGTTTCAAGGACTGGAAAGGAGCCCCTTCTGGCTGTCTTCATCTTCATGGTTAACTGGGTTGAAAAGGGGACATGTCTTTTGCTGCTTTACTGTACAGTTCAAGGCTCAGAGAAACAAAACAAGGGTTAAGGGGCAATGCAGAGGATTCTCACTGAAATTAAGAGTTTTAGGTACCAGGAGTATTTCAAGATGCAAGAAATGCTACAAAGGAGGGCTGCAAAAAATGTGCTGTGTTCTACTTTGTGTCTGTGTATCCTAAATTAGAGATAAAAATTTTGTTGTGGATAAGAGACTAAAAATGACCCTTCTGGGTCCAGCAGTTAAGTGTAATGGCTATGTCGCTGGACTCCCATGTAGTCGACCGTGGTTCAAGTCCTGGACCTGGTGGCTTAAACTCACGCCAGGCACATGTGCGTGCGTGCCCAAGATCCCAAGAGGAGAATGGAGGAGAAGGGATTGCAGTGTGGCCATCCCCCCTGGAGGGTGATTTCTTGCTTTCTGTCTCTCTGTCTCTCTCTGTCTTTCTGGCGAGCGCACGCCCCCTATAGCCAAAAAAAAAAAAAAAAAAAAAAAAAAACAAAAACCAAACAAAAAAAAAAGCCTCTCCAAAAAAAAGAAAAAAAAATTACCCTTCTGTTCCTTTCCCAGGCCTTGATCCCACTTCCTTCCCTGCTGGGAGCAAATGAAAAGCGAGATGAACTAAGAAGGAATCACACATATTGCAAAGATGGTGGTTGTTTCTAATATTTATTTTTTCTGGTTATAAAAGTAATACACAAGGAGCATTGGATTTGGGGAGTACATCTTAAGCCCTGGCTCTCTCGCAAACCACCTGCGAGATCTAGACCATCACTTCTCAGAAATGCCATTTCCTCATCTGAGAAATAGGATTGTGAACCCTGCTTTGCCTACTCCATAGGTGGCAGTGCAGATCAAATGAGATAACAGAGGGAAGCACTTGGTAAATTGGAAAGTGCTGACAAATGGAAGGGGTTAGTGTCACCACCCTCAGCTGAGGTAGCACCAAGGTCTAAGCTCCTGCCCCTCCCTTATCCCCTAAACACAAGTACAAATGGAGGGCCACTTGCAGCCTTAATTTGATGGAAAAGGGCCTACACAAATCTTATTCAAGCCTGGCCAGGTGGGGTTTTGCTGGGGCCCTTCCAGAATCGGGCATCAGCTGTGGCCAGCTGGGTAAGAATCTCCTCCAATTCAGGCCCATCTTCTGCGAAGCGCTCAGAGAAGGATCGGATGAGGCCAGCAGCTGAGGCCTCGTACTCAAGAAGCTGCACTTCTGAGCCTAGGGGTGGGGAGGGAGATAGAAAACAGCAGCAGGTAAAGGTTATCAATTGGGAAGCAGAATCACAAAACATAGTAATATGCTAGTTCATACCAAGCACTTATGCCAGCAATCATGCTCAATGTTTGAGGTTATTTAATTTATTATATTAACTCTGTGAGAAAAAAATAGGAAAATCTTCAAACAGTACATGAAAAAATGCATATTATGAGAAAACTATGCATGAGGCCAGCCCAAAACCTAGTGGTTAAAGGACCCAGATGTGACACGTCTGACTGCTGTTCAAATTCCAGTCTGATGGCTTGCAAAACACAATGGGCATGTGTGTTTGTGTGTATGTATTTATATGTTCGAAATCCTGACAGGATGGAGAAATGGAGAACGGATTCTGGCCTGACAACACCCCTTTGTGAGCTGCTTTCCCCCTCCTCTTTCTCTGTGTCTCTGGAGAGTGCATGTGCCCTCTGGCAATTGAAAAAATATGAAAAACAAAAAGAGGAAAAACTATGTATGGATTCCAATTTTTTGGCAAAAATAAACTTGTATTTTAATTCTACTTTTCCATGGACTTTTGGAAGTCTCCTTGCATTACAGGGGAATGTTAAATGAATTGCTGCTTCTTTCTCTCTTAATGCATTCACTTAGTTAAAATTTTTTACTGGGGCCAGCAGCTGGCATAGTGATTAAGGAGCTAGACTCCCACATGGCTGACAGCGGTCTGAATCTCAGACCAGACGGCTTGAAACTCATGCCAAGTGCATATTTGTGTGTGTCCAAAATCCTGAGAGGAGAATGGGGACAGTATTGTTTAATAACCATCCCTCCTGGGGAGTGGTTTCTTGTTTTCTGTCTGTCTGTCTGGTGAGCGCATGTACCCTATAACAAAAATCTCTCCAAAAAATAAATAAATAAATAAAATTATACCATGTGACATATTAGGTAGAAAAAATATAGTCCTTCGTCTCCTGGAGCTTACAGTCCAGCAATTATTTCATTTCTGCCTAGACTTTGTCCTAACCTAAGCCTTAGTCTCCTCATTTGTAAAGTGGGGATAACTACAGTACCTCTTCTCTCAAGGAACCTTGTTAATTACATTCAATACTCCACTGAGTGGGTGCTAAGCAACTGCTAACTACCACCAGCACCATCATCTCTGAGACTATTTACTTTGTTAAATGGGCCTGTTTTGAGAGTACCCTCTCACAGCCTGGTGCTCTGTGGCATCACAAAGTATATAGAAGCTAGGAGCATTGGATCTGGGCTTGGATGGCCCAAGTTCAAGTCCTGGCTCTGCCACCCTCTAGCTGTGTGACCCCAGGCAAATATGCAGCCCCTTTGTGTCTTATTTTCCAGCTCAAAAATGGGAATAATAACCATTCCTCATTGGATCCTTAGGAGTTAGTTCACACAATGTTTTTACGCAGTGCTTAGCACATGGCAGTCTTCAAAAGTTAGCTACCATCATCATCATTGTCACCTTTCTAAAAGACATTTATTTAGCATTTCATGAGAGAGAAGAGAAAGCAGAGATCCTTGACAGGGTTTCACCACACATACTCCTCCCCCTAGTCTCCTAGCCAGCCAGTGTCACAGGTGCATGCTAGTGTACCCAGTGTGTTTAGGTCAACCCAACATCCAAACCTGGGCCTCCCATGTGGCTCCAGTATTGTGCAGTGGTGCCCTACCACCTATGCCACTATAGCTAGATCCCCTTGCTACATATGGAAATCCAACCTGTTCTTCAGGTCGAGTTTAGCCACTAATTCCTCCCCAGAACCTTCCCACGTTCTCAAATGTAGGTGTGATTGTTCTTCCTTTAAGTGTTCAGTGCACTGTTTGTATTCTTTTGGGCCCTCATTAATACTTCCTGTGCATGAGTATTTATCTCCATGTCTCATCTTTCCTAATGGGCTGCCAAATATTTGCAGGCAAGGCCAGGGTCCTATCCACCTCTCAATCCCAGTAGCTTGCACAGGGGTGGACAATCAAATCAAGGACTTGGCATGGCAGCATGATTCATTCATGCACTGATCTGACAGACACTGAATGGCAGCTGCATGGCAGGCCCTGCACTAGGTTCTGAGTACTGTTCTTGCTGTCATGAAGATGAGACCAACAAAAGATAGCCAAATGTGATAGATGCATGAAAATGAAGCTGGTGATAAAAGAGAGAGGGACCACAGGGATTACTAGGATTAGAGGGCAGAGACAGACTCTCTCAGGAGGTGCTTCTTAACAGAGACCTGAATGACAAGAAAGACCGGACAGGCAAAGAACTGGGAGAAGATGGTGCCAAGCAGAGGGAACAGCTTGTACAAAGGCAGTGAAGTGAGCTCAGTAGGTTGGAGAAATGGAAGGGCCTGGGTGCTTGGAAGGCAATGGGCCAGGGAAGAGTAGGTGCTGAGGCCACAGGAGTCAAGGCCAAATCCCAGGGAGCCTCCAGAGGGCGTAGAAGAGAGTTTGGAATGAAGGGCTGGAGAGTGACACAGCAGCAATGCAGTACTCTGTGAAGCTGACCCAAGAGGTCTGGGTTTGTATCTGGAGAGCTCCCTGGACACGTGTGCCCAATCTGGGGCCGACTGAAGCTGGGGGTGGATCATGAAGGTGAGAGAGGTGGAAGAAAAAAATATAAATGAACTTAAGAAAAAAAAATGCTTTTTCCTCACCAATAATAGATGAGGAGAGCTTTTACATACATTATTCCACTTTATCCTCACAACCACCCATGATGTATGCTAAGAGGAGCAAATGCCCTTTATTCAACTCTTGGCTCCTTCAGTAAAAAGCTGTCAGCCTTGTGCAAATGACTGCCTGTGCCTCAGTTTCCTTACCTGTAATCTGGAGACAATAAAATACCTACCTCATGGGGTTACTGGGAGGGTTTAAAAGGCTAATCCATGGAAAGCAATTAGAATTTCTTTCTTTTTTGGGGGGGAGAGGTTTTTGCTATAGGGCATGTGTGCTCGCCAGAGAGACAGAGAGAGACAGAGAGACAGAAAGCGAGAAATCACCCCCCCGGGGGGGGGGATGACCACGCTGCAATCCCTTCTCCTCCATTTTCCTCTTAGGATCTTGGGCACACATGCACACGTGCCCGGCGTGAGTTTAAGCCGCTGGGTCCAGGACTCAAACTGCGGTCGACTACATGGGAGTCCAGCGACATAGCCATTACGCTAACTGCTGGTCCCAGCAATTAGAATCTGAATGAAGCATTCAGGTTTACTATAATATCCTCATACGGTCAACATTGACTTTAAGAGGGAGGATACCAAAGCCTGGAAAGGTTAAGAGACCAGGCTGAGGTCAAAGAGCACTTTCTTTTTTCTTTTTTTTTTTTTTTGAGAGGTTTTTTTGCTATAGGGCGCGTGCGCTCGCCAGACAGACAGAGAGACAGAAAGTGAGAAATCACCCCCCAGGGGGGATGGTCACGCAGCAATCCCTTCATTCTCCTCTCGGGATCTTGGGCACGCACGCACACGCGCCCGGCGAAAGAGCATTTCAGAAGCTGGTGCTCTCACTACTTTAGAGCACTGTCTTGTTGTAGGTGCCTCAATTAACAGGTGTCAGGTGAGTCAAGGGGTATGGAGAGTGGCGAGAGGAAAGTGAATGCAGTAAGGTGCTGGGACTTGAAGGCTTTTTCTTTCTTTTCTTTTTCTTTTCTTTTTTTTTTCTGGTCAGAGGGTGTGTGCATTTGCCAGAGAAAGAGAGAGAGAGAGAAAGCATCCCCCAGTGGGATGTGGTCACACTGTAATCCCTTCTCCTCCATTTGCCATCCTGTCAGAATTTGGGGCATACACACACACATCCATGTTTTTTAAGCTGCTGGGGGTAGGGTTTGAACTATTCAACTGGCCTAGTGGTATATCCAGCTCCCTTAACTACTAGGCCATAGGGCTGGCCCTCTCAGGGGCTTATAATATAAAAGGTACAAGGATCATACAGACAGTAAAGGGTTTTGAAGATGGAATTGTCATTTGAGAGTAGAGAGGGATATCGGAGCTGCTGACCTCCATCCTGGCTGCTGCTAAGTTGTAGTCTCCTAGTTTCCACTCAGCCTACTGGGTACTGGGTCCCTTGTACCTGCCTGATCTGACCTCGAGGCCAGGTACTGGACAGGCATAATTCTCTGGGATCGTGCATGGCCTCCCCAGGAGCCCTGGGAGTGCTAGCCTTTCTCAAACCTTCTGTTGCTGTCTGAAAACCTGTACAACCCTGTGTATGGATGGTGGTGGTGATACATAAATGCCAAGGTTTTAGCCTAAGGTTCAGCA